ATACTTTGTACTTCTGTCCATATTATTGCTAGCAGTAAACTGACTTTATTAAAAGAACTGTAGTATTGTGTCTGTTATTTGAGTTGTTTATTTTTTTTATTTGATATATAAGTGATGAAAGTGATAAATTAGTGAGTATTTAAATGGGTTAAGTGGAGTATCCATAGTAGCACTAAATTAATGGGAATGTAGGTTTAGAATTATTGAGCATTTGTACAAGGATTATTGAGGTCATTGTAACATTGTATTCCACATACACCGGGGAGGACAATGGGCATTGGACACACTCTGGAGAATGGCCAATGGTAGATGCTTGGAGAAGGTGGCCCATGATCTGATGTTTACATAGATATATAAATAATGTAACATTGTATTCCACATACACCGGGGAGGACAATGGGCAGTGGACACACTCTGGAGAATGGCCAATGGTAGATGCTTGGAGAAGGTGGCCCGTGATCTGATGTTTACCTAGATATATAAATAATGTAACATTGTATTCCACATACACCGGGGAGGACAATGGGCATTGGACACACTCTGGAGAATGGCCAATGGTAGATGCTTGGAGAAGGTGGCCCATGATCTGATGTTTACATAGATATATAAATAATGTAACATTGTATTCCACATACACCGGGGAGGACAATGGGCAGTGGACACACTCTGGAGAACGGCCAATGGTAGATGTCTGGAGAAGGTGGCCCGTGATCTGATGTTTACACATAGATATATAAATAGAATTAATTGTCCTTCATCATCTCAATGTTACCAGTTTTCTCCGATAAGTGGATTCACGATGTGGGTTCCTGTGTTTTTCGTGTTTATTCTTTTTTTCTCTGTCTGCAATATAAAGGGAAATCAACCAAAAAAGGATAGCAAAGACAAAAACATACCAATCACCATTTCTGTACCTAATGGTGGAGGTTCTGGGATATGGGGACCCCTAGACGTTTGTCCAAAAAATACCAGTGCCAGGGGGATCTCTGTAAAGGTATAGTATATACATATTATTTTTTACTTTTTAAATTTATGGCATTTTTAGAGGTCAGCATTGTAGGGTATTATTTCTATGTTTTATTGAATGAAGATTAAATATGATTATACAAATTTTATTACAATGTATTACACAATACTATACTGGGTGTTAGCTAATTTTACCTGAAAAGTATAGCTTTGGATGATAATACAGAGTTAGGAAGCCTGTTCTGTGACTTCTTAAAACATACGTGTCTTATTAACTCAAATCAAAGCTGTTCCAAGTAAAGAAAAGAAAAAAAAAATTAAATTTTTTTAACACTTTTCATTTTAACCTCTAATCTAACATTAGAATATTCACCTGTATTCTTCTCTGTATGCAGGTAGAGAAATATCAGTATATTGGAGATGATACGGCACTAAATGGCATCAGAATCTACTGCGAGAGGAAAGACGGCACTTCTGGTAATAACCCAAGACAATCAGCAAATGGAAGGTTAGAGAAACTGTCTCATTGGGTGGATTTTAATTTTTGAAAACGTTTACTCTAGATTCCACGTGCCGCAACTTGCATGAAAATAGTATTAAACGTCTTTGTTTTATTGGGGATAAATTTGAGGAAGGTGTCGTAGAAAATGTTTTTGTCAGAACTGCATGGTGTCAGAATGAGGGACCATCTTTTTGGTGCAATTGTATGTACACCATGATTATTAGTAGACATCAGAATGTTGCGTGTAGTTAAAACATCTTAATTTGGTATCATTACTGCCCTACCATATCCCTAAAATTATTATTACTAAGGTTTTTGTTGTAATGACCCTTAATTTAATATTTTAGGGATAGGGGTAATTTTAATGTTAATATTTTCCTTAATCCTAATCTACCACGCCCACCAAAGGTTTACCCTAAACTAACACCTGCTCCTTCTATAATTCTGCATTTTTAAATAGAATGTATATCCTGGCTTCCTATGCTTAACTCTTGTCTCTTAAATATTTCCTCCTAACCCTAACTTTGAATTCTTAAATAGATTATTACAAGCTTAGAATCGCGATTCACCGTTCTAAATTTTTAGATTTCTTCCTAATTCTAGCTTGACGGTACTCTGAAGCAAGCACACACTAACTGTAAATTTACATTTGGTGCTAAGAGGAGAGACATTATAAAAATGAAAATCCAGCGCACTCACCTATCCACTAAACAGCAACTTCGGTGCTTTAAAAGTTTGTTCATTTTTTAAAAACACCTTAAAAACACCTAATCTGGGCAAAAAATAATGGGGGTCTAGTTACATTATATGACCATACATTGCATAAGCCTGCCACAATGTCAGTGTACCACAGCTTTGGCAGGTCCTACTCTAACAGCCTAATGTCTGCTTCATGAGCTACTTACTTGGGGGAAAATTCCATCTGAGGCTCCCTGCAGTACAAGGCTAAATAGGGCACTGGGATGAAGCACCTGTGACTAACACAATCTGTCAGCACCGAAGTTTCTGTTTAGTGGATAAGGGTGTCCGCTGGATTTTCTTTTTTATTGTATAAATTGGCTCCCAGCAGCACCCTATTTGTACATGTTAAGGTGAGTGCAGCCAGCCCCCTGTTTTCTCATATATATATTTGGGAGTTTAGCCAACTCCTTGGTTTTGCACCATGGGCATCCATGGGGGGTGGGGGGAACGCAAGGGGGGGTACTTGCCTCCCCGGATATTTCAGCTTGTTCTGCTATTTTTCGTTTGATTGAAAATACAGTGCAATACCGGCGCCAGCCAGTAGGTGGCGCTGTGTATGGAGAGAGACAGGGATAGGAAGCTACAGCTTATCCCTGCTTCTCTCTCCTGACTGAATCCGCAGGGGAGCAACACATACAGCCAGAGACAGCCTACAGATCAGGTAAGTGGGTGATGGGGGGGCAGAGACAGCCTACAGATCAGGTAAGCAAGGGATGGGGGAGACAGTCTACAGGAAGGGTCAGCAAGGAGCAGGAAGGTAAAGTAAGAGAAGGAGCAGAAAGGAGAAGGAACAGAAAAGAGCAGGAAGGGACATCAAGGAGCTGGAAGGGACAGCAAGGAGCAGGAACGTAAAGCAGCACAAAGGTAAAGTAGAAGGAGCAGAAAGGATCAGCAATGAGACGAAAATGGCAGCAAGGAGCAGGAAGGGTCTGCAAGGGGCGGCAAGGAGCAGGAAGGGTCTGCAAGGGGCAGCAAGGAGTAGGAAGGGTCTGCAAGGAGAGGGAAGGGTCTGCAAAGAGCAGAAAGGGACAGAAGGAGCACAAAGGTAAAGGAGCAGAAAGAATCAGAAGGAGCACAAAGGTAAAGTAGGAGAAGGAGCAGAAAGGGATCAGAAAGAGAAAGGAGCAGAAGGGGGAGAACAATAAGCAGAAAGTAGCAGAAAGGTAAAGGAGCAGAAGGAGCAAAGGAGGAGAGAAGACAGTGTCAGAAGAAAAAGAAGACCGTGTCAAATGAAGGAGAAGAAAAGGAGATTGGAGCAGGAAGAACAAGTGAAGTGAACCCTCCACTTTATTCTGGACACCACATCATAAGGCTTTGGAACCTGGGCCAGACAGGGAAACTTTGGACCTTCTCATATCCCCAGGTAAAAAAAAAATATCAGTGTTAATGTGTTCACTTTTATTTACTGAGTGCCATGAAGCACAGAGTGCCGCTGGGTAGGGGTGTCGCTGATTGGCTAGAGCGGTCAGCTGGCACTCTAAGCCAATCAGTAGCTCCCCATTCATAAAAAAGTTAAACATTTTTATTAACCGGGAACTAGTGATTGGCTTAGAGCGTCAACTGACCACTCTAGCCAATCTGCAGCACCCATGAGTGACGTCAATCTGCACTTCCTGACACTCAGTTTCAGAAGCCGAATACCACTGAGCGACCTGTAGATCTGGAGCTGGAGGAAGCCTTTGGGGGTTAACCATTTGAGAGCAATTTAACCCCTTAAAGGAAAGAAAGCACCCAGGGGCTTCCTGGCATCATAGCTTTTTAATTTAGATGAAGTTGTTATGGTGA